TTTTGTTAAAAATTTTTTAGTATATACGAGCATTAAAACCGTTTACTTTTTGTTAAATTTCAGATTATGGTCTTCGGCCTCGTATATAGAATATCTGGCGTGCAAGGCACACGATAAATGAAATATCAGCGGATATGGCAGTCTTGAGCGTTGAGAACATAACACCCGGCGTACACGGCGCATACTGAATAAGATGGCGGAGATTTGAAGCGCAATTGAAGAGAGAGATAAGCCTTCATCTCCAATTTCTTCAAGAACTTCTTGAAGAAATATGTCTGGAACATTTTTTTGTCAAGAAGACCGTCTCGCCTGTGGTTTTTGATCCACAGTTTTTCCACAGGACGGAGGGCAAATGCCGAGGCGGGGACTGGGAATAGAGGTACTGTGGACAGAAAAACTTTTCATCATTCCTCTCCCAGTCCGAAAAACGAAGTGACAAGTACGCAAGGCTCAAGAGAAGAGTCAAGAGGAAGTACACCTCCTTCGTGAAGTTGGGGGGATGCCCAAGTGTGTTTCTCCGGGAGACTGGATAACTCCGGAGGAGAAACTCAAAAGGGATCTTGCCCAGAAGGAGGGGAAAGCTTCAGTCCGGGAAACGGGTCCCAGAAAGATCAGGCTCTAATAAAACTGACGCAGCAGCGCAGAAAGGGAGCAGGAATTGGTCGGGAGCCCAGAATTCCTTGAAGAAGACTCTTCATAAACTTTGGAGCCTGAGAATTGTCGGGACGACAATTTTTCAGAAGGGGGGTTACTCCCATGCTCCGTCGCATGCCGTGCTGTGCTGACACCCGTGGTGTCGCGTTGTCAAGACGACGTGCCGTTGTTAACGGTGAACAGCTGTCAGATCTTCGGAGAGCAGTCAAGACGTACGGACGTGCTTCTCCGCCGATTACACATATTATCGTTATGCTACTTATGTACTGACGATCTCATGATGCCGACGTTACTGAATAAATGGCTTCTTATTTCCTACTCTTTAAGCCTTGAGTCTCTTTATTTCTGTGGCTCAGGAGTGCGCGTAACTATCCGAGTGCAATCTCGTGCATCGGGCGCAACAATATTTAAGCGTTTAAGACGTAACTAATTGATTAAAGTATAAATTTAAACGAAATATTAACATTGGAACTATATATTAGAACAGTTTTGAACATATAACTTTTTTTTATTTATTTTTCCTTGCACTACGTTGGCCTTCCCAATCTTTCGCATGGATATTACGTTACCTAAACAGGTAAAAAAAGATTTTTCTGTCACAGCTGGATTATCTTGATCTGTGTTAAATATTTTAACTGCGATATCTGAAATAATATTTGACGTTTAATAACAACGTCAAGGACTGTCGTTTACAATAGTTACTTGCATAAACATAATATAACCATGATTAACCATGCTCAGCCATATTTATATTACTTTTCATACAACGGCAAGTCATTGTATCCTTAAATATACGTTTAGTACCTTGTTGTTTAAGCATGTATACAGACACGCAACAACTCTCTTGACAATTTTCTTCAATATATATAGCTGTTGGCATTTTTGACAAGCCATTGTCTCTATCTACTGTTATATAGATAGATAGATTCTAAAACATAAACACATTTGTATTGTATTTACTCTCTCAATACTAAAAGAGTATTTATACAATACTTAAAGATCAAATATTTATGTTTTAAGGGGATCATGTAGTCGTCTATATTACCGAATAAACCATATAATTTTTGGCTTATAATTTTTGGTTACTATATAGTTACATATTTATAATTATTTCAAACAATATAATAATTAAACGGCTTCATCCACGTACACAGGCTGAGTTTTGTGCAGGATCATACATTAATCCATATTTATTATAATATATAAAACCAAACGTTTCGGTCTGTCATCAGACCATTTTCAATAGTATTACATAGAACTGTTAAAAATTTCTCAATAATTTTGAATATTTACAGATCGAAATCATTCTCGTTGTCATTATATATATCGCTGTCCAATAATTAAATTATAATTTTCGAAATATCATATATAACATTCGTCAACTGCATAAAACCATGGAAAACATAGTATGTCCTATCTGTTAAAATAATTTTCATCCTCTGCACTCCATGAAAACAAGTCTGCTCTAAATTATAAGTGAAGTTAATAATTATATTATCATTAGTGATAATATAATTATTATTATAGTGATTATATAATGATAATATAATTATTAACTTCACTTATAATTTAGAGCAGACTTGTTTTCATGGAGTGCAGAGGATGAAAATTATTTTAACAGATAGGACATACTATGTTTTCCATGGTTTTATGCAGTTGA